AGTAGTAGTAGCAGTAATAATAATAATAGTAGTAGTAGTAGCAGTAGCAGTAGTACTAGTAGTACTACTCCTACTACCACTACTACTACTACTACTACTACTACTACTGCTGCTGCTGCTACTAAAACTACCGTAGGAGGTAGGAGTCCCCTTGAGGAGGTAGTAGGTAGTGGGTTTAGTAGGTAGTCCTAGTATTAGTATCAGTATTAGTATTAGTAGCAGTAGTAGTAGCAGTACTATCAGCAGTAGCAGCAGCAGTAGCAGCAGACACTACGTCTACTACGACGACGACCACAAGGACTACTGCTACTTGTAGCTGATCGAAGTTTCAGAGGCAAGACGTGAAAACTCGGAATTACAGCGAATTCGGCTCTTCGCTCCAACGACAAAGACATGCAAGTCTTAAGCACCGCGTGGGAAACTACTTAAAACCTCCATGATAGGAGCTCTTCGTGTGTCGCTTTGTTCTTTGGGCCTCATGGAAATGTAGTTGCCAGTAGCTCACATCTAAACTGCTTAAACACGAAGCTCATTTTTGCAGTTGGAACGGACGCTCACGATGTCTGGTTTCCAAGAAGGTCAAACATCTGTAGGCAAGAATACAGAGGACAAAACTGCGACACCACCATATTATCAATACGAGTGCTTTGGGCTGTGTTGGGTATGTTGGCAAAAGCAACGGACTCTTGCGAATGCACATCTTACCCGAGATTAAAACAGAGGAAATGCTGTTAATAGCCGAAGTGTGCATCGCGTTTGCCACGTGAGCGGACGGTCTAATACCCGCCCAGCCATACCCCAATCCTCCATCGTAAACTGAACAATGTGCCACCATCAACACCGAGCATGTTTGGTACGGCTACTCTCTCTCTCTGTCAGTGCTAATCCCCTATACTACCGTGAGTCTCAATGCGTGCATAGGAACTTCGAGAGTCGCCAGGAGGAAGCCTGGCGTTTCACGGCTTATGGCTGGAGGTCCGAACCTTTTGTGGGGTCCAGCGGCACTTTCGGATAGCATCCAAGCAATTCGGTAAACAACGAAACCCAAAGCAACGACTCGGCATGCATCCTGGGAAAGCAAGCTTCCTTTGGCTTGTTCTTGGACTGGCAGGGGGGCTTGCATCTCCGGGTGCATCCGTACGGGTATTCTTTTTGCCCTCATGGCCACTTGGCTGTGCCAACTTCCTCTACAATCAACCTGTTGCGCACTGTGTCCACATGTTCAAAGAGGGCCGAGGCTAGGTATCTTGGCCATGTACTTAATCTCACCCACACCTTGTAACTGAGGGCTTCTGTTCGCCGGACGCGTATGTGACGAATTCTCAGCTTCCCTCCAAGTGCAAGGAGCGCTGGGACGTCGTGCTCCGACCACAGAGACTAGACTCCAAGCCCCGATCACAGGAAGAAAGCGAGACTTGAGTGCCCCCATGTGCCCATGATAGCAGTGATTATTGACGGTGTGCCTCCTGGTCAATGACGCCACAATCCACAGGTCCCAGGACCAAGCAGGGCCTCGCTTTTCCAAAATGCCCCAAGACTTGTGAGGATGCGCTGCGGTAAACCCGAATCTGTCCTTCGACAAACCGCTTTGATCCATCTGAGAGTGATGGCGCAGCCGCAAATGCAGACAACAAGCATCATGAACCCGAAAGTATGAGCCCGTCAGAGTCGGACTCCGGGCTCCCATCAATCTGCACTTCAGGCACGGGAATCTTCAGCTTTCTATTGCCAGGTGGCTTCTGGAGATGCTTGACTTGAGAATCCCGTCCGAGCTGCGATGTACCGACCCGCACGGTGTATGTGCTCATGCTGAACCTGGCAGCTGTCGGCTCGGACTTGCTTCGAAGCTGAAACGCGGTGCAACGATCTAGCTAGCCTTCACATAGCTGCTTCTTGATGACTTGATGCACATCTGTGCTTCAACACTTGCTGGTACATGCATGAGCCATCATGAGCTCCAGGTTAGTGCACAAAACGAGCTTGAGAGCCGAGTCTCGACACGTGAATGCTCTCCTTGCTCGCATTGGCAACATCCGGATCGTCGATGTACACCTGCTCCAGGTGTTTCTGCAGGACAGCTGCTTGCGCAAGAAGCGCACACGCCTGTCCCTCGTCACTCACGAGCTCTTGAAGTCAGAAGGACGTGTGCCGGCCTTCACGACTCCTTTGTCATCCGGCTCGGCAGTCATGTATCTGGTGATTCCTGGTAGTGGGGTAGTGGTAAGCAGTTCCAGCAATTCACTGCCGTTTCTCCACGAGAGCGTCCCTGCGGCACGTTACCGGGCACGGCTGAAAAGCCTGCTGGTCTGCTACCAGCTCGATGGCTCACGCATGCTTGTGAGATTCTGCGAAGGCTCGCTGTTCAGTGACCTTGGCCTCGAGGTTGCAGCCACGGTCAGCAACCTTCTGCGGGCTGCTGTCCTGCAGAAGACTCGAGGCTCGAGGTGCCAGGATATGCCAGCAAAGCAAGATCCTGATGATGTGTAGGCTGTCCAGGCTGTTGCAACATCGATGGAGATGTCGTGTTACATGCGGGCTTTGCTTTCACAGCGAAGCCGGTGTCCTGCGCAAATTGGCAGTCCCATTCTCGCCTGACTGCTGGCAGCAGCTGCGGTGAGTAGTCGGGGGAGTTTCTCTGCTGAAAAATCCGCCATGCTGCATTTACTGTTGTAGCCTTGCCTTCACGCACTTGCACATGGTTTGCTCTGCTCTTCAAGAACACGAACTCTTGTGTCCAAGCTTCGTTGGAACCTTGTAAGACAGATCTCCGGCTTCCTGTAGCAGTTGCTGGTCTTCTCGTGTGTCCTCGGCTAGACAACGACTGGTGACCTCGACACTTGACAGTACTTGACACCTGCAAGCTTGCTTCTTAAACTGCTACAGTTTCACCTGGTTTGTGTGGTGCGCCTCTTCATCGAGTTCGGCTTGGAACTTGGCCTGCTCCTGCAGGGAAGGGCGCTCGCCGCACTGTGCTCTAAGCCTTATAAGCTTAGTGCCTAACCGGTCAACCCACGCTGGGCAGCACGCAGCAATCCGATTTGCTTTCCGGTATGTGCGTATCCTAGCCGCGTTGCTTTTGAATCCCTGACATGTCCATGGACTGCCTCGGACCCTGAACCCCCAAACATGGAGGGAACGCACAGGATCGGGTGGAACGTTGTCAACCCTACTTCGAACCAAGGCCACTTCATCCAAACGGATCTAGTTGGTTGTGGACTGAATCCGAGTTCGTTGCTTCTACGTCCTGCTTCCTCTTGTCTTCTTCTTGCTTCTGCATCTGCGTCCGAATCTGGCTGCAGCTATCCTTGGCCCCAGCAGCATGAAAGGCTATCTTCGGGAGTGTAGATAGCGATGATAGCGACTCATCTAGTGCTTGTCCATGCTCGGATCTGTTCGCCGTGTATCCACCGATTGTCTTGCTTAGCATGATCTGGCTTACCAGGCGCCACTAGCAAAGCTGAACATGCAGCCATGGCTCCTTCATCGAAGACATGTTTAGGAAGGATAGGTCGATCACCGGTTCATACCTTGGCACAAGAAGAGGGGAGGCGCGAAAACACTAAAGTCGCCCGCGTCCCGGGCCGGCCACGCTCGTCAAGTGCGTAGCCTTCCGAGATCAGCTGCTCAAGCTGCCTTAGCTCCCAGCGACTCGCAGCAACTCAGCTGCATTGGACTTTGGAGCTTGCAGCCAGGGAGCAAGCGTGACTCAACCATTTCCTGTACAGAAGAAAAAGCTTGCAAGCTTCTGGCCGAAATCTGCCGGAACCACAGCTCCTTGCCCAGGAGCCCGAGTTGCTTCCCTTCGTCCAGGACCTGACCGATGTGGCTGAGCAGAGCGGGATCGCTTCGCTTGAAACAGCTCTGCAACAAGAGTGCGTGTGCACTCACCTTGTCATTGATGATCAAATCCTGGGTCAACACCAGCTCCTTGGTGAGCTCGACCCTCTGTGATAGACGCAATAAACGGCAATCGCATGAGTCACTGGGTCCTCCTATCAAGAGTGCTGCTTCCGGATAGAGAGAGAAGCTCGAAAGCCAGGACAGGAATGAGATTTGAAGTAGCAGCTGAGGGTCGGGTGTGAGAGCATCCATGATCAGCTTCAGATCCTTAGCTCGTTCAACGCTCTTGCGGCTCGGTCGACGGCTTGATGACAAAGGGGAAACGACCCTGTAGTACAGGGCTTGCATGGCTCACAGTCCCTCAGACTTCGAAGCCCTACGTCACCGTTGAATTTTGAATCATGCTTACAGTCTATGCAGCTAGTAAATCAGACAAGCGGCATTTGCCGTGCGTATTTTGACGCAAACTACCCCAAAGGAGGAAGCATCCAACATGGCACTTGAGGCTTCTCTTTGTGTTGGAAAGCTTCTGTGCTGCTGCAGCCAGTCCCCCTTGTGCAATTCTGCAAGTACCGGCCAAATCTAGTTTTGCAACATGGGCACCTGTCAAGTTGACTGAAAAAAGTCACGGGTCCCTTGAAGGAACCTTGCTTGTCATCACCAGCTGTTTTGATAAACGGATACGTCAAAGGGAACCCTGCGCCCGGCAAATCCCGACGTCTGTCATGCCGTGCTGACGTACTGAAGAGTAGATGACAGCTTAGCAGCTTGATGAACAATGTCTGCACACTGTTGGTCTGCAAGAACACACTCGGCATGGCATTGCTTCGGCCGTGTTAGGCACATCTACACTATCATACTCTGTGCCATGCCTGCGGAGAAACTTCTCAGAATCCTTCTAGGGATCAGCAATCACTTCAGCTGACACCCACCTCCATGATGGGCTTGGCTGCCGGTATGAGCTTCTCGTCGGAGGAGGCCGTCTCTCCAACCACCAGGATCTGACCCAACATCTTACGGTGCTGGTACCCGAGATCAAATATTTACCCGGAGGACATGTGAGAGTCGGGCTGGCCAGGACGAAAATTGTGCTGACAGCCGTTTACAGCTGCTGACGCATTGCTTTGCAAGACTATACCGCACTGGAGCAAGAATGGCCTGATCTGGCCTGAACAACATGCATTTCGCCTGGCCTGGGCGGGCAACGCCTTCAAGACAAACTCCGCAAAGCGCAAGCCGCGGCTGTTGATGACGTATTTGCCTGGGGACTTATCGCAAAACTTGCCGACGAGCGCCAAGGTGATGGGAGGCGTTCGTGGGTTGGGCAGGGGTTGTAAGTTCAAAAGACGCTGATTTCTAAAGCCTGGAAGCGATCCGTGCTGCCATGTCATGCAACTTATCGGCTTGATACAACAAAGAACATCGCCACCCATGGCTGCGCACATGCGAGATGGGGCATCCGGGTTCCAGACTGTACTTCTTGGTCCAGTCGACGCCTGCAGAATGGGATGCTGGTGCAGCTGACACTCCGAATGGCCTGTGCCCCCGCCGAAAGGGGAGGTGGAGCCAAGTCTGTTGGTCTCCGGAAGCTCGAGACCTGAACAGGTCTGAGGCCTCAACCTTCGAGATGGTTGGGGGCGCGCCACGTAATCGAGCTTGTGCTCTAGAACTGCGCCGCCAAGTGCAGTGCTATGCTCGTTGTTGACGAAGACGCGGACACGACCTTAAGAGTGAGGCCCAAGCATCCACAAGGAAGCGAGACTTCTGCGCAACAGTTATAAACGACAGGAAATTCTGCGAGGCAATGTGCCTGAGCCCTGGAAGCTGACGACCAGGTTGCCGTTGATGATCCCGAGCCTGTGATCTGAACTCCATGAGTGCCGTGGGAAACATACGGTCTACGGAGTTCTTCCGAACAGTGACTTTGTTCGAGCTACCTGCTGCGATTTTGGATACATCAGCGCCTGTCGGACAAGTCTCATAGTCCCTGTACGAACACGGTAAGGCAGCATATCAGGTAGCATGGCCGAGAGCCGGGCACGTGAATGTTCCGGATCTCGCCTGCAGGCCGACATATTCAGGTCGTATAATCCTGGAAAACTAGCGATCTTTGCAGCTGTATATTCTTTAAGTACTGCTGCAATTTCTGCAGCTGTTGCGGTTCGAGAGCTTCAGCGTGGCCCCTGAGTCTGAAGTAACCGCCTAGTGGTGGGAGCTGGAAGGCCAGGGACAGCTAGCACTGATGCCTTCCTTGGTTTTGTTACTGGGTTGGCAATACATTATGTCATCACTGGGACCCCTCCTCCGAACTTCGGTGAATCTTTCAGGTGCAGTGAAGTTCGATTCTTGCAAGATGGCAGTTCGACGCACATGAAAATCCCTTCTGGCAAACTGGGCTTGACATTGACAGGTTCTGCCGAGCTTTCCTTGCCTACTGGTGCTGTATACATGTCACTCCGCAAGGTACCAGCTCAGCAGATTTATGAAAGTGCGGAAGGCTATTCCTTTAATTGTCAATAGCCAGGAGTCAAGAGTTGATCACTATGCGCGCGATCAGACCATTCATCTTGATCCTCAAAGTCTTTGTCAAGCACAAGTTGCCAGACAACGTGTTAGCCAACTGATTTAGACTGTGTTTCACCATGTACCGAGCAAGGAAGCGCCCCCTGCCCTGACATTGATCAATTTGGCAGTCGACGGCTGCGATTACATCCGGATTGGCATTCAATTGGCAGTGCAGAAGCCTTTGCAGTGTATTCAGCATCGCTTTATGAAGTCGATTGCTTTGTATTGTCTGACCGCGTGGTGCTTCACAAAGTTGTCGAAACGGATGAGTATACTATGCGAAGGGTGCTTGTGCCAATTAACCCCAGAGACACCCTGTACCGCAAGTCTGGCCAATGTTGTGTCCAGATCCGCGCAGCTCGTCCGCCAACGGATCCCAGTGAGACTGGCTTGGAGGTGGTGTGTCTATGCGGAGAGAGATTTAGCAGTTATGCGTGCTGGTGAAAGCATTCCTGGTTGGCTAGGTGCATTCGCTAGCAATGGTGCTTTCCACATTCGAGCTGATAACAAGCACATCAAGGAAGCAAGAACATTCTGGTTTGAGGCAGATGAGAGGTTTGATGATCACGATATCGCCCTCAAGTGTGCGAAGCCGTTTCGGGTACAGGGTTTTCAGCAGGGACTACATGCAAGGATGTGCGAGCCACTTTGGAAGCGGCTGGATGGAATGTAGTCCCACTATGTGTGGCGCACATCCGGGAGCTGCCCAACGCAGTTGTTGCTTCAGACAAAGACCCGGGATCTTGGAAGATTGTCTGCACTCCCCTGATTACTTCCGAGGAACGCATGCCACGAAAGATTGCAGAAGTTGAGAGAGGAGAGCAAACCAACAACTCCGATGCCTTTTATGGCCTCAGCGCAGTCTTCTACTGTCGTTCCGCTTCCATCACGCCAAGGTCAATCCCAGCTCCTTGCGCCGCCGGTATGGCGAGCCGGATACAGCAGCTAGAGGTGGAGATGAAGGGTGTCCATCAGAGCATTGCCGGTCTGGAAGAAGGCCAGAAGAAGACCAGAAGAACACCAACGTCAAGTTACGCCAACCAAGCCGCACTTTTGGGGCGCCTTGATGGGACTCAAAATTGCTGGGAAAGGTCCCGGGTTGGGGCTGCTTGCGCTGCCCGAACCTGGCGCAGCCCGTAAATATGTGCATACCCATAGTTGCTTTAACTGAAAAGCCAGGAATCCTGTCAAAAGTGCTGCAAAGGCCTGAACTCTTTGCGTGATGCGCCTCCAACCACTCGGTCCTGATGCCAAGTCGGCGAATGCCATGTGCCATGAAGCTTTCATGATCAGCTTCTCACTTCATACAGTTAGGGTCGGTGTCTCATATGTATGTCTAAGATGCAGGACGGTGTAGAAGCTTGGTGACATGGGGCATGCTGCCTCTGTCAAATTCAAAGCAGAACTGCATTCGACGAAGACCGCCAGCCTGCCTTGTTCGCGAGCGTGTCCTGCGACAAACATGAACAATTAAGTTCAACTCAGCAGGCACCCCACCAACAGCGTAACCTTCTTCGTCTACAACTTCCCGGTCTACCTACTCCCTCTCGCTGCCCACCTACTGTAAGCCGTTAATTACCAGCGATTTGGCTCAGCTCGCAGCGAGAGCTCCAGTGAAGGGTGTCTGGGAAGCCCTGGCCTTGGTGCCACAGTGGCCACAAGCAATTTCTAAGGTCCGGGGACCAAGAGCCACCACGCAAGCTGGTGGTACCGTGGACCGCTAAACTTTCCAAGCTTGAAGGGAGAGTTGGCATCTTGGCATATGCGTTGACACAAGGTTCTCTACCAGCAGCATCAGCTGCTGAAGCATGTTGCTGCTGCCGGAGCAAATGGGTTCTTTGGCAAGAAGTCGATGGTTCCACAATGCCCCGAACATGCTATGGAGCTGGCGGGGACAAGGTCCGGCTTCGAGGTGGCATAGACGCGGTGTGGTAAACATGGCCTGCAAGTAAGCGTTTGTGTGGTTGAGGAAACCGATGTATTGCGAAAGGCTGCAAGTGAACCCCGGCCCCGCAGCCTTGTGCCAGATGTGAGGTGCTCATAATCGATGGCAAAATGGTCATGCTTACGCCTTGGATCAAGAAGCATTCGGATTCTTTCGCAATGCTGCGAGCAAATGCAAGCATTGTGCACGCACCACGCATCCAGGAGCAATCTGTGTCCAACGGCAACAGGAAGGCAAGCGATGCCAACCAAAGAAAGACGCTAGACACCATCGTAACAGCCCATGCTCCTACTGTATCTCCGCTCACACAAACTCCACGCCACCATTCCTACAAGTCACTTTCAAAACATAGAACTGTAGAGTGGCTATACACATCCATTGTGCCATCATGCTGAACAAAGAGCCACTGCAACCTGGTCAGTGAAATCGCAGCACTGCAGCACAACCCAACCTCTTCATACTGCCTCTGTTTATCTCTGTTTAAAGGGGGGTTCGACAGAAACACGCCACATCGCTCTCTGACACCCTGTGGCAGACCTGGAAACTCGGCCGGCCAGCGCGTCTGACCCCTTTCGGGGCTCAGCCCTAAGAGGAGATGAGCTCTCCACCCTAATTTCTACGGCCACGTGATGCCCACGGGCCACGGCCATTCCGAGGACTCCCCAAAGTGTTCTAGCACCCTACGTTGACATATTCAAGATCCGACATGCAGACCTCCTTGGCCCAAGCTACCTGAAACGATTTCTTCACGAATGGAGTCGCTTTGCGAGACCGAAAATGCTGCGGTCGGCCCACTGCGGCTGCCAGTCAACTGTGTGCAACACTGTGCTCCGTCGGTTCTCCACTCAGAGTGCCGCGCAGCAAAAAGAAGATTCCTATCCATCGCACATTCTACACCTGCAGAGATGGATTGGCAGCCCCCGCAGGAAAACTGCAGATACGATGATGATGGCCAAAGGTTGGTCTGCTCCTGCAAAGATATAACGCTCGAGCAACCTGTTCAATCGAAGTGCTACCGTACCGAACCGGAGGCTGCCGATCGAAGATCCCATGAAAAGCGTGAAACGAGCAAACCTGAAGGGGTCAGATGACCAAGGGTTGCTTCACCTGTCAGGTGGCAGAGAGTTTTCGTGTGGGTCGGGTGATCATGTGACATACTAACCGTGGCTCCAGTCAGTCTTGCCAGTCTCCATACCATGCAGCCATTTGACCTAAGCCAGACATGCGCCTTGTTTCAACCACGGCGACGTCTCGGGCGACCGCCGCCTTCAGCAGGCTTCGCTTCACCTCTGGCAGCAATGAAAGCTTTTGGGCTCGTTGCTTCAGCTGACCTCTGCCCGGTGTTGCTTTGTGGTTCAAGTTTTCTGTAAAGGCGCTGAGGGTTCGAGGACGGATGGAACCTTCAAGCTGCCCATGCTGTTCAAAGGAGACGAATAGGAGTGTAACTAGTTGGCTCTAGTGGGTTGTTGTGCCTATTGAAAGCCGTGTGATTCGCTCCGCGCCTCAACCTAGAGTCTACTGACTACAGATTTCTCTGCCGAGGGGCTGTTACCGAAAATGTCAAGCTCGCCGAAAGGATCTGCATGCCTGTCAGGCTGGGCTGTCCTCAGTGCTGCCATCATGCTTTGGAGCGGCTGCAGCGCTGTCGCCTAGTACTAAGTTGTTTCTTGTAGCCTCCGGGCGCCGAAACCACACGTGAGAGTTGTATAAAGATCGTCATCGGCGGAAATCCAACTCAGCCACGGGGCATTGCATTCGTCAAGCCTGGCTCCGCTTGAGCAGAAGGTAACGCCGTCGCTTCTGTTCTCGCATCTGCATCTGTGCCTGCCACCACGACATGTCACTGGCAGGGCAAACCCTGCCGAACTCCGACAAAAAGCTGGCAGTCTGACATGGTCTGACCAGGTGCCCCTGAAAGCTCAACCCTGGCCTGCACGATTGCCGGCATAGTCGAGACCACCGAAAGGGTCGGCAGGGCGGCTCTGAGCCGTCCTTGGCAAGGCCGTAGGGATGCCTACAGTAGCTGCTTGCGGCTTCGAGGCTGGACATGATTTCGATGGAAACACGAATTACCTTACTGGATTACTGAATATTGCAGCGACAAACTCTGCATGCCTTGATCAAACTCAGCATACTCACTCACAAACAAGTTGATCTTCCGTCTAGCACGTCACTAGCTGCGAAAAGGGCTGACCGAACTCCAGACTAGCACATCAAAAACACACACAAGCCACTCGTTCGCGGCTGCTGGTGCAGCTGCTGCAGGACCGGTGCCTGGCAAAGCTTCTCCACGAAATTCACGACAGCATGTCACACTCCGTACGAAGTTGTCGTGAAATCAATTGTGCCTATACCGCGATTGCCGAAAAGGTCCAAGTCCCCAAAGGGATCTGCATGCCGGTCGCTGCTCAGAGTCCTGACATGGCGGCCATGTAGTGAGGCACCCAAATCACCTTTCCAACTGCGAAATATCGTTTACTGCCAAGCAGCCCTGGTGCTGGCGCTGGCACAGCATGCGCTTGTGGAGGAGAGGCCGTGATCGACGCAGGCCCTGGGAAAAAGAATCATTCGCGGGCATGTTGATGCATCGAGAACATGTTGCAGGCACATAGAACTGCAGCAGCTCCCGCAACGGGCCCGAGGCCTTTCCTCGAAGCATTCGAACATCAGACTCTAGACGCTTAACAACAAATTCGCAGCTTTAGCCAAGCCATGCCGAGCCTGCAAGGTGGTCGGGAGTCTCAGCTGCCTGCAGGCACGGGTGCGCTAGTTGGACTACGCCCTCCTGCGCAGGCACTGCCTCCTGGGAGGCGCTGCCACTAGGGAGTGCATACGGACTCGGACTCGTCGTCGTGGGTTGGCTTTGGGCGGTTTGGGTCTGGTGGGGAGGGGAAAGGGAGGTGGACTGGAGAGGTGTGGCCGAGTCCGCATGCGGTGGCGCGCTGCTCTCTGGGCTCGGGCCACTCGGGCCGCTCGAGCTCGAGACGGCCGTGGCCTCCGCCTCGCTGGCCATGGTCCCCATGGGCCTTGGCTGCACAGAAAGCGAATCAGATCCCAACCCGCAACCGGCAGCTGAGATGCTGAGGGCTCGTGGCCACAGCGAGCTCGGCAGGCTGCGCCCGAGGTTGTGGCTCCTGCACTTGCAACAACGCATGAACAGGTCGTTGCTGTCACTTGATGTGGGAAGCATGCTCGAGAGATCACCCCTGAATGCAAAAGCAAGTCTCCTCTGGTGAGACATCTGCTCGCATTGTGTCTGCTTGCGACTGAGGCTGCACCTGGAAATCAAGGGGTCACAAAAGGCACTTTCGACTAGCTGGAACTTGATAAACACAGGCCGGGCAGACTGTCGAGCGCTTTGCTGGAAGGTCCCAAGGACACAGTAAGGCACTGAGGTGCCGCAGGTTCGTGTCGGAAAGGCCTCGGGCTGCGCCACAATCTTTCTCCTGGACTAAAGAGCCAAAGCCGTTGGCGGAGTCCTGTCCTGAAATCGGAAATGGAAACCCTCAAGCATCCTCTGAAATCCTTGGGCCAAGTTTACATTGCTAGAAAATGCGTCCGCAGCGGCTGGCAGCCACCCGTGGCTTGGAGGGCTTGGGTTCAGGCACCGGGGGCGGTGGCGGCCGTGCACCTCGGCGGGAGTCTCGACACAGATTCTGACGGCTCTGATGTTCCAGCCAAGGAACATGCAGATCCTCTGAACTCCTGTCGCAAGACGCCAGGAGGTCAGTATGAACCGCAGGACGTGTAACGGCAATGAGAAACACTGCTCTTAACTAAAAGACTTTCGGACTTGGAGTCGCCCTCCCCAGGCGCCTGCATCACTTGAACCCTGCGCTGGTGGGTGCGGAACTCCTCCAAGTCCTTCCCGTTAGGGTCGAAAACAGACTTCACCTCGGTGTTTTGAGTTTGTAGCAGCTCATGTGGCTGTGCCCACTGAGTCGCCCGATGGGCACTTCATGACTCCGCTCAATGCTGCAGTGAATCATCTAACATCCTGTCGGTATGCATCTGGTCTCCACAATAAATCGGCCCTTGTTCATAACACTCCCAGACTTTTCTATGCTTCCCAGGAAGACACGTGTAGAATTTCTCCGCCGACTGAAACTTTCTACTGCATCGTGCGAGACCCAGAAGTGTTAGAGCCCTAAGCTGCAGGTGAGCTGCTGTCATGAGTCGCTTTACCAGCAGCTGATTTTCCTTCTCAATGAGCGTGTCGCGAGCGTTAGGCTTCCTGCACTGGCGCTTCAAACCATCCTAAACCACTGCGCTTCACTTGCCCATGCGGGGCAAACTCGACGTGCTTGACTTCTTCAAACAGAACAGCGCCAGTCGAGCAGGCAGAGTCTCGGTCCTCATAGACAGCATACAGCTGCCACTGGCCATCAATGTTCGCCCTTGATTTAAGGCTGCCGCACGATAGTCGTTCCATTTAACATGTAAATGTAAACATAATAATCAAACTAAGATGGCACGCCTGACATTCCACGGCCTGAAGTCGAGATGTAAGCGAGTTCCCTTTAGGCTAGAATACACTAAATCTCTTGTCAGTGCGTCGACATCCAAACCGTCAAATGGGAAGTGAGTGGTGAAAGGACGCAAGTGTGGCAAAGCCGCGCATCATATCATCGCTCAAGCGATCTCGTCGCAGTGTTCCGGAGCCTTGACACATGCTTCTTTTCTGATGTGGAGAGAACAGGCAATACAATCCGAAGCAGGTCTGAAGTGTCCTGGACATCTTGAAGCCTGAGCAGTCGCTAGAAACATATTTTACACACATTGGCGAATCGACGACCCTGCCTCGGTTGGTCTTGTGAAGACTGCGATGTGTGTCGCGGACGAAGGTGTCCATCTGGCACCACGAAAGCTGTTCCACTCTCGATGTCGTATTAAAAAGGTGGTGTCGGAAGCATTCACGACTGCCCGCTGTAGTCGTAGATGTGACGAAGCGGAAATGTACGTTTCAATCCATTCAACTTAGCAAACAAGTCGACTCCAGCTTTGAGTTAACATTCGTATCTCCCAATTTTTTTCGGAGTCGCAACGCAATGGACTTAGGAAATCTGCCTCGTCTCTGGGCCGGCATCCCCAGGAGAGGTGGTCCCACAACGCTGCAGCTCGAACCAGCAAACCGTCCCCGCGCACGTATGTGTGTGTGTGTGTGTGTGCAAGGGATTGCCAACTGCTATCCGCCCGGGATTGCTTTGTGACTCCACGAACCTTCCGACATGCATATTCGGGCATCAACCTAGGCCTTCCACGAGTGCAGTCGCACGTCCGGATGCTGCTCAGCTTCCACTGTGGCACCGGCAGTGGAGCGATGCAGCTGCACACTGACCTCCCGAAGCCTACAGTCAATCATCCTTGAGCCCGTGGCAATGCATTTAGCGAGACATCGGACTGCTGCAGCGCGGTCTTCTTCATCATCTCAGAGCAGCCGTGCCGGCGAGCATACTCCAGCTGGTGGCATGGTCTGTTTTTTTCTTGAATCGCTCCTGGCTTGATGCGCTGAAAGGAAGATACTCGCAAGAGAGCCTCGAGCCCCTCAGGGGTCATGTGGTCTGCTGCTCAGACTTTTCAGTTGCACGATCATCGGGCGGATCGTTCCAAGACGAAGTCGGTGAGATCCATGACCCTGTGGAGCCGGCGGGATATCGAGTGAGTGGCGTGTCGATATGAAATATGACCCCAAAGGTTGGATATTTCCAGCGGTAACTTATCGACCACTCTGCACAAGTGTATGAGTAATTCGTTACTTGTCATAGCTCTGGTTGACACTGACGCAACCAGCTTGGCTAACATGCTTTTCACATGCTTATGGTTGTGGCCGGGCCACAGATCAGTCGCAATGCAAGAGTATGGCATGCAGATCGGCGGAGGACCAAGGGCGTGGCGAGGGGAAGTCGAAGATGAGGGTGTGTGGCATATCTGCCGACAGGAAATCATGTAGTCTCAAGATGTCCCAGGTGCATAGCAGCCATGGCACAATCCGAGACACTCACTGAGCGCCGGACTCGGGCCGGGGAACTCCTTTGACAGCTCATCGCGGATAAGGACCTGGTGGGGGTGACCCAACTTTGCCGAGTCCTTTCACTGCCACATGTGACATGTCTCAGACACCTTGCCACTACACCGGCAACCGAAGCGCAAGGGTGTGGTGCAAGACACAGACTGCTTCCTGCCACAGTCTAGGAGTCCGGCAGCTGTTGTGCTTGTCACTCCATGTGACATGAGGGCCGCTTCCTTGGCGGGCAGCATCTCGGACTGAACTGACATGATTCGAGGTCGCTGATCATGATCCAACTATGTCCAATTCCCGCACTTCGAGGGAACAACAGCTCTGACCCAACTGCGCGCTCTTTTGTGTTTCTGGCATGCAGGGGGCTGCAGAATGGTACCTACAGTCCATAAGAGATGAAAGTTTCTGGCATAAGCCTCCGATCCCGTACATATGCTGAGGGAGTCTCCCTCGCAGCTTCCATAAAGTCTCTGCGTCAAACTGTGCCCACGGCGAAACTGGGGAATCCGTGTATGTGCATCTCCCACTAAACTACAACGGCAGCATGCCACGACTGGAGCCGGAGGCAAGAGTCGAAAGCATCTACATCCCGTAGCATGTTGCATCATCGGTTGCACTAGCACACCAAAACCAACTCCAGCTTGTGGCAGCATTTGCGGCAGACTCTACGATGTACGGTCCCTGCTTCAGGCTGCCGAACTGCCAGTCTTTGCGTTGCCCGACCGACCGGGCTATCGTGCACAGGCATGGCAGACCGCTTCTGAAAATGGTCCTTGCCTGTTATCGGTTATCTTAAACCGAGAGAAATCTTCGGAAGTAGTCTTGTTCGCACTCCGTATTCGGATGCCGGCCAGATGCCATGTTCTGGTTCCGGAACTGCTTTTTGGACTTCTTGCGCATTGTGGGATTTTGGCATGGTGCGCGTGCCGAGTCACGCTCACACTGTCTCCACACTCCCAAGCCGGATGATAGAAAATCTGGCTTTTTGTCTTTCAAAGGCTCGAAATGTTTGAAGTCCTGGCAGGGCCACACTATTCGGCCTTTTCGTCTCGTCTGTGTGTATTCCTCCATATTCTGCCATGCGCGGGGGGAGGGGGGGCGATTTTGCGGGTGATGCCTTTGAAACGCCCGCAACTTCTCAAGATGCCTGCAAAAGTTCTGCACATTTCTGCGCGTTGACCTCAAACTCTAAAACGGGCCAAAGCATGAGGCTTCTCGAGTTCGTCGGTGTGGTCTTCTATTTCCGGATAGTAGCTGTATTTCTGAACCCCCCAAAAAATACTATGCGAGTGCGGGAAATCATGTTTCTTCAGCCCGCCTTCGTATGGTTCATTTGCGTGCTGTGTGATTGCGTGTGCACCGAACGGCTGTGTACTCGGTTGCTCGGACCAGCATACAGCTTCAAGCGCTTCTGCCAGAACAAGCACACGCCGTTAGCGACACAAGGTCTGAGTAAAGCTCCGTAAGAATTAGTCTGCAACTTGGCACTAGCGCCGTGGCAGCACATCGCCCGGAGGCTTGCAGAAGGTGGAGTTGCTCAAAAACCTATTAGTAGCAGTCATCCATCATTTCTCAGACCTTGCGGATCGGAGGAAGTCTGACAGTCAGGTCAGTAGCCGACCTCAGTCACGTTGCATGCTTCTATGTGTTTCTGTTGATTAACTGCAAGCAAATGCCGTCCGTCCCATCGATATCGCATATAACGAGCTGCTGTGAGGCCGGCAAGCATGATAACCAAGTCGCTTCTGTCGCTTGACGCCTCGCCGTTTGGGCGATGGCGATCTTCGAATGGCAGCTTCCTTACTTGAGTACAAGCTTGGGTCTTCATTCATTCTCTTGTCGAGCCCGAACAATTATCTGTTGCAGATGCGTCAAACTCCGGCTGTAAGCAATTTCGACCCGAATCCCAGAACTACCAGCTAACAGGCCGAACAGCCGAGCTTGCCCGCGTCAGCGCAGTTCCCTGAGAAAGGCCAAGGTTCTCACGGACCCACTGCGACAAACGGGATGACACAAATGCGGATCGAGTTTTTTGCGCAAGGATTGATGGGGTCTGGCGGCAAAGATACCGCTGTCAGGAATCCGAGCCACAGCAGCTGACGAGGCCCGTGCCTCTTGCTTGGTGCCGGTCTTTGACTTCGGCGTTGGCGAGTCGTTGCTTTTCCCCTCAGGTTCACCGGCCCCGCTCGAGTAGATGCGACCAGACAGGGTTCCTCCCTCTTCCTCGACCCAACATTTCGTCACTGGGAAATTCTGAGGTTTTGGCAGACGGCGAGCTTGGGAGGTGCTCTTCTGTCACAGCGAGGATGTGCCTGGAGTGGCACTTCAACATGTAGAAGATCTCAGAATATCGAAGATCTCAGAACATCGCAAGCTACTGTAGGCTCCTGTTGTTCACAGACATCTTCGAATTGAATGCGCTGCGAGCTATCCGAGCACATGCTACGCAATCCATTCCGAAGCTCCGTGTAACATTCTCTAAAACTGAGCACGAAGCTCAACAAATGCCGAACCTAACCCAACATCGGAGGCAGCCCAGCTGCAGCAGAACCGACATGATGCTGAGGTCACCCTGGAGCAGCTGGCATTAGCCAAAGTAAGAGCATGCAACCTCTGTGAGTATCTCTCGGGCGACTGGCTTCCGTATCTCGCAGTACTACCCAGCATTAACGCAGGAATCTCAAATTCCACTCTCTGAAATCGCAAACACCTCACGGCAGTAACGCCTAATGCACTCTCCAGACTCCCTGCCTGCGCGCTAGCAAGTGCCACACCATGGTCCCGAGCTTCCCGTAGACGTGCCTGGGAATGGAACGTGCCAGCCAGCATGGCACAAATGCTAAACATGCAAAGACAATGCAGTCTCTCAGGTGCTCGGCTGCCAGACTGTTCAACATCGGCCATAAAGTCGAGCCAGTGGTCAGTCGCTTTGCTGCATTCTCGGTGTTTTCATGGTTGCAGTGTTTCGACAACGGTGCGGGCGGTCTGCAAGGTCTTACGGGTTGGTCACTGCTGCGTGTCACATCTAGATCCATACACTCCTATCGGCATATTTCTGAGAGTCATGCATCGCTGGACGAATTCGTCGCGCTGTGCGTTGAGCGGCATTGCCAGTGCGCATCACTGTCACGGCTTTGCACCCCACTCCGCTCATGCTTTCCTGAAAGCTTAGTTACTCGGTTGGTAGGCCACCAGCCTTTTTGCTGCATCAACCGTATGACTCATATGACTGTGACTCAATTCTGCTGCCAAAGATCCCCCAAAGCAATGCCATTGTGCAGGAAGGTCTTTCCCTCAGCCTTGGAACTGGGCTTGAGCTCTGATGCCGTGACGAGTCTTCCTTCCCAGCTCTGGCATAGCCAACAATCATGGACTTCAGTATGCAAACAGTCGTTTAATTTAATGCCCAAAGGCTGTCTCCCAATCACTGATGGAGTCTATCAGCTTGTCCCGGAGCTCGGGATATTGACGCACGAAACCTGAGTGCTCGTGCGGTCAAGCTCCCGAAGTCTACCGCTTCTCTGTATTGACATGGAGCCTTGCCGTAAAAATCTCCTGACAATTTTTGAACCTCAGCAACCGTAACAGTTTTGTTGGAGAAGGCGAAATTATCTGAAAGTGCTGTCCGGCTGCGCCGTCGGAATTTCCTGAGCAATCTGTATGGTCAAGAGCAAGCACCAAGCTCTACAACGCTATTCAATTGGGGAGACCAGCTGCTGCGATACTACATCATTTGATGTTGTCCGAATTACCAAGTCCAATCACCAAGTGCAAGCTCAGTCTCTCCTCTTCGAGGAAGTGCTTTGAATTCCCAACCCAACGTCCTGAGCAAGGGGCGGACGGACAATCATCTTTGCTTTGTCTCTTCATGACGGAATGGAAAAATTAAGCGTCCGAACTTGCTGGATGTCCTGTGCCTGCCTGCGCTTGGCGTTCGAAGCACTCACCGGCGACCACCAATGCCCGCAGCTCCTCACGCTGGCCGAGGATAACCTCATAGTAACTGAGCAGTCCAGGTGCCATGTAGCCTCTACTTGTCGGGTCGGTAGGCCTCCAGACTGCCTGGCTTATGAAGCTGTCAAATAAGCCGGGACTCATCAACCGATTCTGCGTAGTCCTGCATGCGCCTCAGCTCCTCTCCGGCAGCTTGCAACTCGAAAATCCCGGAAGACCCCTCGTTCTTCTATCAGACACGCATAGGGGTGCAGCGAGGCCGATGTGTACATCGGGAAACACTTGGACATGTTTTGTTAACCGAAAATCCCTTCAACATGCCACATCCGAAAAGAAACAGGTTAGAACATGCGAAAACAAGTCCACAACAGCTGCATCCCGAAGATAGCGAGCACATTTTCCGGAACCAGCTTGACCAGGTGGAGTTCGGGTGCATTTCCACTTCGTTCTTGTGCAATACGTTAAGGCACTCTGTGTAAATTCTCATGATGGACCCCTGTCGCGAAAATGCAACTATCCGTGAGGCTTTTGCCAAACGTGCTTGCGATTGCCAAACGCATTTCATTTGCACGTATCCGCATTCTACCGACTGAGATGGGTCCAGCTATTCTTAAGAAGTTGGCGATCGCAAACTTAGTAGTCGCAAAGAAAAATCTGCGCCAAAGCAGAAGCCCACGTCAGGGTCCAGTCCTACCCAAAACTCCCATACCCTACCTTTAATAGGACCTATAATGCCCAAGAGGCCGAATGACGTGGCCCTGTAGTCACTTCGAGCGAATTGAAAGCTACAGTAGACTGGTATTGGACTTTGCAATGCAGCGAAGTCAGCGTGTCTAGCGGACGGGGCCCACACCGGACGCTGGGAGGAACACGAGTTTGGCGGATAACTGCACAACACCGCTCAGCGCGAGGCACACCACCCGCACACACTCCTGCCGTTGACGCCTCACGCCGTCACTGGCCCTGTAGTTACTTTACATCCACGTATGCGCGCTGTGTCACCATACTGTTTGGGGCCCTAATAGGCGGCCCTAACTAACCGAGAACTGACTAGCCGGAGCATGTCGAAAAGCAAAGGAGGGTCGAAAGAGAATCGCTCACGCTCAAACCTGTGCAAACCTCTGCCGGACGCAGGACCTAAAATTAACGACAAGAGACCTCTGCTGCACTCGTCAACAGGTTCTGAACGCAAACACCCCCAACCCTGAATTCAACTCCGCAAGTCCGACACTCCAAGTGCTCCGATTCCTTCTCCAGGAGCTTCTTCCTCTGGTCAGCAGTCAAAGCCTCCTCAACGCATGCAAAGACGTCGTTCAGCTCTTCCATATCACCTTGACACCATTACAACCGAATGACCAGGCTTACACTAATGATGATGGCACCGTAACAGTGAGCCTGGGCACTAAGTGGCACATGTAGCAACAAACAAGTCGTGGTAGTGGTAATGCTGGTGGTGGTAGTAGTAGTCTTAGACAGCAGGTAGCAGATAGTTGGTAGGGTAGTAGTCGTCGTTGTCGTGGGTGGCGGTAGAGGCATCTCCCGCATAGCAAACTCCGAACACTCGACGTGGCAGGTAGCAAAAGAGCTACTGGCTTCCTGAAACTGCCAGCGCGAGGACAGTGCAGCAGGACTTCGCATCCGACCCTCACACCATGAAAACCCAAAACCACCTTGCAAATACCCTCCCCAACCCAACTAGGCAGCTGCAACGAGCGAAGGCTCGTTGCCCTCAGAAGTGTAGGAACGTGAGACTAATCAGCTGATAGGACATACAGTGCTCAATTCACTCCTTCACCTAACCACGAAGTGCACTGCAGACCTACCCGATTTCACTTGAATCTTATTGGCACAGGTCGCACAGCTCTAAGCCAAAACATCGTTGGGCTTGCTCATGCTGGCAAACCCAGCGAGTCGGCACATCTCTGTTCGGTCAGCACACCCAGTCACAGTCACCAGGCCAATGTAGAATAACCCAAACAATTCGGAGGCTTCCAGTTGTCCCTGCGAGGCATTGCCACAACAAGTCTTGTAAGAAAGGCGCGCGAGAAAGCACTCGGCTTTGATCACCAGGCCATATAGGCAGAGCTTCGGTAGCCGCCCACATGAAGTCTTGGAATAGACGTTGTATTCCAAATAAATCCAGGCTGCTATGCAGAGCAGTGCACACACTTTCCCAGCGACACCCACATCAAGTAGGGTCAACCGGGGAGCAGTAGTAGTAGTAGTGGTAGTAGCAGCAGCAGCAGCAGTAGAAGCCGTAGCCGTAGCCGTAGCAGTAGTAGCAGCAGTAGCAGTAGCAGCAGTAGCAGCAGCAGTAGTAGTAGTAGTAGCAGCAGCAGCAGCATTAGCAGTGGTAGTAGTAGTCGTCGT